CTATGCTGAGCAATTTGGGAATTCCTCTTTCTATGTTCAGTTAGGCCACCAGTCTAGACTCTTGGAGATTCAATGCTCTCTAGCTATCTAGAACTTGTTTGGAGGAAGCATACAAATAGCCTTTGTCTGCCACACTTGACAGATTAGAGTGGCTATCAGGAGACCCATACTAAGAGTTTTGAGGAAGCCTACCTGCAGGTAAGTAGGAAATATCAGGGATGATTAATGCCCACCCTCAGTGTAAAGTAGAGGCATCTTGGCACATTTCCTTATGACAGTCATTTTTGGCATAGGTAGAAAAACCCCATTATTATGCTTATTTAATTTGGTCAAAGCAAAATAGGGTTTCTTTCAAGGTCACATTTTATAAAATGATGGAAAGAAGGGCAAAAGTTAAGAGGTAACCCTCAACAATGAAATTTTTAAAATGTCTGCTTTTGAGGCTGTCTTTGTGTTGCTGGAACTTTTAAAGTTGGCTGTGTTCTGGTTTGGCTGAAACCTTAATGGACACGTCACACTGAGACCATCTTTTCCACCATCTGGGTTATACACTAGATGAAGCTTCTGAGAAAGTGCTTAACATGTCACCCAGAGTGGTGATGGAAGATCATCCCGTGGCACTTATTGTGTGGCATGTAAACATAAGAAAAATTGAGCAAAGAAAAAGAGCAGAGATTCGAGAGAAGAATTAGAAGATAAAGCCAGAAGAGACAGAGATGGCATGTGCTAAATAAGACTAATACTAGAATCTGATTTGTAAGCTAGCTAAAACTTCCTGGGTGAGGGGCAATTCCTAATTCAGAACAGGTTAGGGGCTCAGCAGTGCTGTGTGCAGAGATAAGAGCACCAGACAGCTCAAGGTGACCTGTCATGTTCATCAGAGCAGAATGCCTCTCCACTAATGCTGGGGTCTGAGTTCCATCTGCCTCACACATTCAATGATTTTAAGCTTTAAGATCAGTTCGTAACGTATACTTGATACAGTAGGTCATGATGTCAGTGGCAATGATAGGTTGATAACATTTATGAAAACTTGTTAGTTTCTGACATAGCACCAAGATTTTACACATTAATATTTGAAGCAACAAAATGAAATAGGTGCCATTAACATCTCAAAAAAGATAAAAAACGATGTCCACATGATGACATTATCTGTAAGTAGGAGAGCTGGAGCCTGGAGCCCCTCCTCTCTCAAGTGCTTTCGAAACTGCTTTCTATATTCTAAAAAAGGAGACAGAGCAAATTTGACAACTTCAAATAACAAAAACCATGCTTATAAAAATAGCTCTCTTCATTCTGTACCCTTTACATTACAAAAGTAGGCATGATTGCTTTTCTTCTATTCACTTTGCAGTTCAGAGCATGGAGGTCCAGACAAAATATTTGTCCTGAGACTAGACAGCTGGAAGGTGATAAAGAGTTTGGGAAATGAGATTCCTTGCTTGAGATAGAATGGGTATCAGACTATGAAAGGAGTCTACCTTTGCCATAAACATCTGTACATTGAAAGGCTTTTCTGTAAAAGGAGTGAGCTGATTGGCTGTGACACTCTACCAGCCATGTTTTTCTCTCTATTATGCATAATAAAACTAATCCCATTTACCAGGTCAGCCAGTTCACACACCAGACAGGAAGGGCCCACTTTCCCAGCTTAAAGGCACCTTAGACATTACTACTTCAAACCTCTGTTTTAACAGTTAAGGAAAACCCCAAGTTGTCAGCTTGTTTCAGGTAATCTTTGTTATGATTACGCTCTGCTCTAAAACACCTCTCTCTTCATTCCAAATTGGTTTTATTTATGGAATAAAGATGTCAGAAAAAATATTGCACCAAAAACAAATTCTTTGTTTCTGGTTGGGCAACATTTGATATTTGTTAAGACTATTCTCTGTTGTTGGATTTTTTCTGTCCTGCTTGCCAGGTCACAAATCATGACTCAGAGACTTCTTATTAATTATGAAAGCTTGGCCATTACCTTAGGCTTATTTCTAAATTGTTTGCATAATTTAAATGAACCCATATCTTTTAATGTATATAGTGAGATAACCACCCGCCCATACCTGTCACTGACCATGCCCATTTGGTCACAGGTGAGTACATGACAGGTCCCCAGATCTTGCTTGTTTCTGGTTAGGTCACAGGAAACAACCTGGGAGGATCCTTGGAGCTGGAACCTGAGACAGTCACTGCCCCCGTGTAAGTGCATTCTTCCTGAATAAACTTCTTTTAACCTGTACTGAGTCTAGTGAATCTTGATTCCCACACAATAAATGTACATTCTTTTTCATGGCTCAGTTACCTTTTCTTAGTTTGTAAAGCCCATGCTGCTTTCTCTGCGTCCCTGGTGTCTCCTCTAGACTCTGCTCTCCTTCCCAGCATCCTCTCTGCCCCCAAATCCTGCCTAGCTATTGGCTGTTCAGTTTTTGTTTTATTAAACCAATCCAAGTGACACATCTTACAGTGCACAAAAAGATTATTCTACAATGGCTCTCACATCCAAGCTGTAAAAGAAAAACATGCACATGCACGTGACATAGATAAGGATTTTGTTGGGACATAGAGATTGGCCAGAAGCTGGGTCAATGATGCCTAAAAATGAACTGTGTAAAACACAAGCTCTCCAGCAAGGGCAGAAGTTAGCTTGGCAGTGTTCCAAGTCCTCCAGCACAATTGTCACAAGTGGCCAGTAGATGACACTGTTGTTAGTTGTATTTTTCACATGCAAACTATAAAAACGTAAGTTATTGTGGAAACAAGTAAAATACATGTAGCAAAAAAATTTGAATTATCTTTAAAATATTAAGTGGCAGAAGGAATGCACAGATGGATCTCTAATGCATAATAAAGTCTGAATGTTACTTAAGTGAAGGAGAGATGGCACTTAGGACATAGTTGTCCTTAAGTAAAGGAGAGAGAATGACAAAGTGGGGGAGCTTTTTTTCTGGGCAGATGATGCCCTGCAAAGTTGCTGTGAGGATTACATAGGATGAGGTTCACTTTTATTGAGAACTCTTCTTTTTATCTTTTTTTGTCAGAGAGTACGAAAGAGGAAAGGTGGCAAAAAGGATTCAGGAAGTTTAAGAGATTGATTTCAAATACCTTTCCTTGTAAAAACAGAAAACAATGCTGTCTGTTGAGAATCTGGGACTGCATATTTCAAAGCCTTGCTGCTTTGAAATATGCAGTCAAGGGCAAAACCAAAGCAAAACAGAAGGCAAGCTAGAAATCAACAGTACCAGCCTCCAACTGCGCACTTCTGTTTCCTTGTTTGGCTTCTGTTAGAGCCACTGAGCCCTCCAATAAGAAGTTGCTAATGTGCCACAGTGTGTGGTCCACACCTGTAACCCCAGCACTAGAGATGCAGAGGCACTCAACAGTGAGGACTGCCTAGGCTACATAGCCAGACCCTGTTTCAAACACCAAAACACACAGCAGAATATACACGTGTGTATATTCAAACTTGGCATGGTAGTAACCCTGGTGGAACACTAGTGTTAGCAGAGCTCAGGCAGGATACTCATTGTTGGAACACAGCCCATGGATGAAACTATGTGAGGAGAGTTCTGAGAGCTCCTGAGAAGCTCTAAGGAAACAAAACAAGAGTCTTGTGACTGCTGTTCCTCCATAACATAGGTTGTTCTTAGAATGTGTTTTTGTGCCCCTCCCAGATGGAGTAAATAGAAGCAGATTTATTTCTGATTACCCATCATCTACTATTACTATTAAGATGTTGTTTCCAATTACAGGCTGTCCCTGTGACTGTATACAGCCTAAACTCATGTGACCTTTGCTCATGTGACCTTACTTAACCCTCAGAATATAAACTGTCTGATGCTCTAAATAAACTTGGCTACTGCATGAGATTTTATTTTAGACTCCATTCTCCAGGTCTATGCTGCCAACTAGAATAGTAACAATTATGCATTTCAGGCCAGCCTGGGCTACACAGCCAGACCCTGATATACATAGATACTTATCTTTGGGGCAATTTTTAGGGAAAAGAGACCTCATATCCATACATACATGCAAATACAAGTGCACACACACACACACACACACACACACATATATATATATATACAGAGAGAGAGAGAGCGACCCTATATACTCTGGTAATGAGAAAAATGTAAGCTTATAGGGAGAATTGTATATGATTGCATATGTGAGAAGGGTAACATTTTAGTGCCCTTCCAGTTATAATATTTTTCTTCTGTGACCTCACACATGGTAGGAAGGATTCTACCACTGAGCCATACCCCAGCCGTTGACAGTTAAAATTGATTTAACTACTCTAGAGAGTACTTGGGTGATTCATAGGGAAGTTGAGGATGGATGGCTCTGTCATAAATATTGGTTCCCTGGCTTAGGAAAGTATTGTATATCCTGCCTACTTCCCTGTGTCTGACCCTCTGCCCTTAGGAAGAAGGCATTATTTCCCTGCCCATGGTGGGGACTTTGTCATGTGATTTGGTCTGGTCATTGGAACCCAAGGACCAACAAAATCTTGTGTACATAACCTGCAGAGACACAGCAAGTTCTCCTGGACATTCCTGCCACATTGCCTTTGTCCTGAGAAGCATGTGTGGTCACACCAGTACAACAGTGTGAACACAATAGTGTCACGGAGACCTGAAGAGATTCCAGTGTGGGTCCTTTTTGATACATGAGGAACATGAAAACAAAGTTACTAACACCACACAAATCCATTCTTTTATTTAGATGTTCATAATTTGCAAGGCTTTAATAACACATGAAACATTTATTGGAAAATAGTATCTATTTTGTCTTAATGTCTGTGACTGACTTGCAAACTCTGCCTTTCATTTCAGAGTTGTGCAAGCATTTGACCACATTGGCACTGGCTTACTCTGGTACCTTGTATAGTACCTTAAATATCTCTAGCAAATATTTGGGAGAAGAACACTGTGAGGGTAAAAGTAGTACATTGACATTACTGGCAGAAGCCTTAGTAAATCCCATGGTTTTGTTTATATGGTAGGTCGACATGGGAAGATATTTGCTGATTTGCTTTTGAAAACCCCATCATCATATAACACACAATTAAATTATCCACCTATAGTGGGGGATTTTTATATTCATTCATGTTCTATCTCTGGGAACACCCCAGTAGAAGGTAGCCCAGCTTCCCTGAGATGGGTACTATTGACCTTCAGCGCTACAGGATCTGAACTTGCCCATAGGGCAGGCTTCCTGTGCACACCTCTGAGAGACTGTCCCATTACATTTACTGTGGGGGAAGATCCATCCTAACTTTGGAGGAAAAAGCTTTCGCTCTCCCCTGCTTGCCTTCCTGTCTTGCTGGTGCACTCACTGACTGGGTTGTCATTTTCTTCTAACATCAGCTTTTCTGCTTTCCCATGTGTCTTAAAGACCAACATCCTTGCTGTAGTGTCATCCGGGCACCACTCCTCCATCTCTCCAAGGGTCTAGGACATTAGAACCAGACTGAGACAGCTGGGGCATCCAGCTCTCCAGTGTGAAGACAACTATTGCTGGAATATACAGACTGCATCATGTAAACCAATCTAATAACTCCCTTTAAAATGTGTTCTATTGCTGGGCATTGGTGGCACACTCCTTCCAGCATTTGGGAGGCAGAGACAGGCAGATCTCTGTGACTTCGAGGCCAGCCTGGTCTATAGAGCTAGTGTCAGGATAGGCTTCATTCAAAGTTACACAGAGAAACCCTGTCTCAGAAAAAAATGTGATCTGTCTATCCTGTTCTAGACTAGAACCCTGACCACACAATCCATAATAAAATTGTGTGTTTAACCAAACCTTAGGATCATCAGAATTTTAAGAATCTCCATCTTTCTACTTAGTTAACAAAATAAAGTATATAATCTTGAGAAAATATATTTTGAGGGTAGTTACATATATGAGTTGTAAAGGTATAATGGTACAAAACATTCTAAAAACAGCATATCACTCATAAGTATAATCAGATTAGAGGTAGGCTTTAAAACTCAAATCCCAACATATCTTCTGTATTTTGCCACATTTTCTACTTAATACTTAACACAAGCACATTTCTAATAAAAATATTGTATTACATTTTTAGAACCATTTGTATTGAAGCACCGAAGTCCATACATTAAAGTTAAAGAAAAGGGAAAACAGTAGATCAAAATCATATCAGGAAGAAGTATGATGTCTACATGCTTGTTTGACATAATTATTAATTTGACATTCACTGAGAGATTTAATGATGCTTGTAGTAATTTAAAATAGTCGCTCCTCACTCTTGTTTGCTCTATTTTAATATCACAATGACACTTCATTACTGTAGGAAGCTGATTAGAGATTTATATACATGTGTGCTTAACAGTAGAACATAATTATGGTCCAGTTCAAGCTGTTAACAGCAACATTCTCTTGGTATAATTCATTCACACATGCTTGTATTCCCCATAATAAATTATGACATGTCTGTTAAGTTTCTCCTGAAAACCTATAAACATTAAGTGGGCTGAAACACTGATGAGCACCCAGACAAAAAAAATATTTGAATATGGAAGTCTTAGGAAGCCAGGAGTGAGAAAGGAGCACCAGATAACTGTTTCACGAAGCAGTCCCCCCACTCCCGACCAGCCACTTGGCAGTACTTCCAAGTTCTCAATGTTCAGAGTACTTGAATTGGGAGCCCCGTGGCCACGTGAGGAATGCATTTCCCACAGTACCCTCCACATCTGCCATAGACTTTGGTTCCATCCTGAAAGTGTAAAGGGGTAGAAAACACAGAAGATGTTTATACAAGCTGATAATTGGGCACAACATGAAAAAAACACACCCACTTTGAATCATGTGGCTGGAGTCCTAGCCAAGGATCCCTGTAAGAGTTGATGTCCAATGAAAGTCTTTTGTGTGAGTCTAAAGGACATGCACAGCCTAAGATTTGTACCTGATGCTGTTCATGTCAAATAAACCACAGTAGGATTTATACACTTCATCTCAGTGCACACATTTTTCATCAGAATATTTACTTGTATTGGTGAGCATGTGACTGTATATGTAGGTGAGTGTGCACATGTGTGTGAGTGTATGTGGAGGCCTTATGTTGACATTGGGTATCTTCTTCCACAGCTTTCCACTTTGTTTATTGAGGTGGGGGTCTCATTGAAAGTGGGGTTCCTCAATCTGATTGATGACTTCCAGGAGTCCTCCTTTGTCCACTCTTCTCCTGCATCACCAGGGCTATAGATGCAGGGCCAAGTCCTCATGCTTATGTGGAAGGGACTTTACCTACTGAGTCATTTTCCTCTCCCCAAAGAGCTATTTACATAGATAAAATAGCAGGGTTATCTAGATAAAGATAGGCAAGGAAATATGGGTACCACATAAGTAGGTATTCCTAATTTCTGAAAACACTTCGAGGATATTTAAGATTCCCAGTTTAATAATTCCTTCACTAAACCAAAGGAAGGAGATAAGTAAACCCCAAATTGAGCCATCAGTCATCACTTTGAAATATTAGACCCTTAATCTCTGTTGGGAGTTTTGCCATGCTGGGAGTTGAACCTTGGGACTGGTGGTCCTTGCTAGGTGGATGCTTTACCACTCATCTACAGTATCAGCCTTCTTTTCACTTTGTTTTTGAGAGAAGCTCTCACTGTATTACCCAGGCTGACCTTTAATTCACTCCAAAGCCTGGCCTTAGAATTTCAGGTCTTTTGCCTCAGTATACCAAGTACCTGGGATTATAAATCTATGCTACTAACCCTAGTATAGTTAAATGACCACCTTTTAAACATATACACATATCCAGTCATAAATTCAAAATCTAAGTTTCATGTTTATGTGTGGTAAAGCCCATATTTGAAATTGTATGTCTAAATGCACATCAATAAAATTGACTTGTACCCCATTATATGTAGCATATTCATGATTTGCTGTAAGTTTCTAGTCATTGGTCTCATGTGAGCTTACATCTGAGTTTGGGGACCTTTAGTGCTAGCTCATAGCACAGAAGTGATTCCCGACTCTTTGGTCCTCAGGGACTCACCTGGGATCTGTGGATGATAACAGAGGCATACCTCCCCTGAGCGAGCCACTTTGCTGTACTGGATATCTTCATACCAGTTCCTGCCAAGTTAATGCTGAACTGCCCCTGCATTGTGAGAAAAGATGAATACATGAATATTTAAGACCGTTCTTGCCTGGAAACATCAAATGACTCAAATTATTTCCCAGGGGTCTTAAAACAGGCAAAGAAAGCTGATGCAATTTTACTAGAAGAAAATGAATCAGGTAAGGAGTTTAAAATCTGACTAAATAAGTCTTCTTACAAGTGCACTAAGAATTAACATTATGAAATGCTAAAGGAATTCTGGCAGGCCTTAGACACTATGAGACCTAGAGTCAAGGGACCTGTCACAGTTGTTGAGTCCTTGATGGAGGAGTATTCATTGGGACTAAGATGTGTTCAACTTAAACATTCCTTTTGATTCAAGTTTTGACTACTAACTGGCACTACATCTGTTTGATCATATTTTCTAGAGTCTTTACTCTCTTCTGTAATAAAAACACCACTCCTTTACTGTCAACACAAAAAGTGCAGAATGTGGCATTTCCCACACAAGATCATCTCTTTTAAGAGCCCAGAAGGAAGTGTGGACTGTACCAGCATACCACTTACACGTTATGGTGTGTGGTCCCTAGAGGCTTGTGTCATGTGAGAAGTATTTTTATTTCAAAATATTTTAGGTTAGCTTTTTTAGTAATAAACTTCAAATATATGCTGATTGAGAAATTAACTGATCAAGATGATACCCTGTCATATTTATATGATCATATAATAAAGATTTACATGCCTGGAATTGGAATACACACTAATTTGGCCTTCTGACAGTGTTCAGCATGAACTGAAATCCCAAGCTCTGTGAGGAAGTCTAGGATAACACCTAAACAGTTCTGTGGCCCAATACTCTCACATCTTTAGATTGAATGAGATAAAACCTGGGCAAATACATTATGAGAATTAAAACACTCTCTTATCATGAAAGTAAAAGCTAAATGTAAAATATAAATATAAAACAAATTCACTTAACTGTTTTTGTGAGCTACTAATCTCGTTATGAATTAAAATATCAACCAGGCATGGTGGCACACCCTTTTAATCCCTGAAATTGGGTGGTGGAGCCAGGTGGATTTCTGAGTTTGAGGTCAGCCTGGTCTATCTAAAGAGTTCTAGGACAGCCAGGACTACATAGAGAGACGCTGTCTTGAAAGAGAAAAAAAAATTTAAAAATTGGATATCAATTTTGCTTACTTACTTTAATTTTGGACATTGTGAAGTTATTATTTTAAAATAAATATTCATTTAAATGCATATACAATATAGCTATGGTAAATAGAGAATTCCTATTACAGAAAGTTTAGGTAAATTCCAAATACTTATTTGTTAGTCACTTGATTACAAAAACACAGACTATGGGCTGTCTATGGCACTGCTGTATTTCCAGAACAGAGCCTCTGTATTAGAAAGTGCTTCTGAGTAGATGAATAATGAGCCACATTATAAATATTAAATATGACACCACAAAAGTAAACACATGAACACACACGTAACACCCTTGAGACTCCTCAATGGCAACACGAGACACAACAGTACTTTAATGCTGACTCACATTTGAGCCAAAGAGTTAATCCCTGGATATATTACATCAATATGATTAAGGGACCTTGTGCATCTTGTAACTTTTAGCTTTCTCAGACAGTAGAACTTTGTTACTTCCTGAACCTGACAGGTGAAGCTGTGTCTCCAACCCTAACACTGCTCTGAGGAAGAACACATTGTACATTTTCCTAAGATTTGGACCTAGGAAAGGAAGACTCAGGACCAATAAGGTGCAGGGACAGCTCAAGTTCGAAGGAATGAGGCAACACAAACTTGTGGCTCTGGACTCTAGACCCTAGGAAAGTGAAACATGGTGGTAGCCCAGGCAGGTGAAGCAGTCAGGAGTTGGAGTCAGGTTATATGCGACATGGCTCTGAGGGAGGTCAATGGTACAGAGAGAACTTTACAGCCCATTCTAGGTGGGTTGGCACTGAGGAAGTTTGGTCTGAAGGATGCAATTCAGTCAAGTTCTCATGCTCTAGAACATGAGACGCTGTGTCTATTCAGCACTTGGACATGTTGTTACAGGGTTGGCAGAGTTTCTAGATCTTTGGACTATGTCTAACATCATGTTAGCTGTGCCACTAGGGGAGTGATGCTGCTTCAGTGCACAGGAAGCCTGAAGTGCTCAGGTTCCAGGGTGCTGCCACAACTGTGATGCTACATCAGTGTTGCTCAACTTGTAGGTCATGATCCCTTTGGGTAGATCAGATGACTCTTTCACAGGGGTCACCTAAGACCATCAGAAAACAGATATTTCCATTGCAATCTGTAACAGTAGCAAAATTTTAGATAAGAAGTAGCAAGGAAAACAATTTTACAGTTGGGGGGACCACCACAACCTGAGGAGCTATATTCAAGTTTCGTGGTATTGGAAAGGTTGAGAACCACTGTGCTAGAAAGTGGAGAAAACACTGCCATCCCACCATTGAGTGTGAGAACAATTAGATATATGTATACAGAACCCTCCACTCCAGGCTCTATGTAAAAATTATTCAAAAATGAGTCATAGGGTAGATATAGAGCAAGACTAATTTGTAGAGTGAAAATGTTTTAAAAAGGAGAAAAATCTTTGTAATTTGTCATTTAATTTTTTAGCTTAACAATCCATAAGAAATAGTACAGCTGATTTCATTAAAATAAAAGGAAAATGTTTACTCTGAAAGACACTTGAAAGAAAGAAATAATGGTTCAGAGAAGCACATAATATTTGCAAATGGCACTTCTGATAAAGGACCTTTATGTATACCCAAAGTATACAAAGGAATCTTGACATTCACCGATAGGGAACAGACTCATTGCCAAACACTGGCAAAGGCATGGATATTAACCTCATTAAACAAAACACACAAATTACAAATAAGCCCAGGAAAGGTACACCCTTATGTGATAGACACAAGCAAACAAACAAATGAAAACCAACTTGGCAATGCCAAATGCTGGTAAGGGTGCAAAGCATCAAGGGTGTTCATCTTTGCTGGTAGAAAAACAAAATGGTGCAGCTTCTCTTTACAATGTTCACTGTAGAATCTGAAACAAAATCCTAGGGATTTAGCCTAGAGAGATGAAAACGTACTTAAACAGCTGTATGTGTGTGCCAATCATAATTTCCAGAACCTGGAAATAACCAGCATGGATGGGTACTGGCATGATCCACTGGAATGTGACTATTTCTTCAACTCTCTGGGAATCAAATACTAATTATGAGACAGAGAACAAAGTCCATACTAGGACTCTTTGGTAACATGTACCTCCCATTTGACATGTGTATTCCCAAGTTACATAACACTCTCCAACTCCATCTCACGTTCAATGTGGTGAAGTTTATTTTCTTTAAAGAACACCATCTGTGTTTGTGGTCTTTTTTAGAGTTTGTTTCCTGGGGTGCCCAGTCACATGCAAACACGGAGGATGTGGTTTTGATGAATCCCAAACAACAGAAGAAGTTCTCTGTGACATTAAGCATCTGGAAGGTATTCATGCAAATGCCATGTAACTTAACACAGAATCTGTTTTATGCATTTGACAAGACATCTCCAAAAATACTGAGCAGTTTGTATTTTTGGTAACAGTAGCCTGGAGCAGACAAATACAGACGGAATATGGATGACACAGCTCCTTTCAAAGCATCTGTCTGTGCCCAAACACCATCTAACTTTGGCACGAAAGTCTGCATTCCAGAAACGTTCAGAACCACACTAGGGGCCATGGCACCCTAATAGCAGAAAAACTTCTTACTGCTGCTTCTCCATTGACTATTTTGAGGCTCTGAGAGATGGGTTGACATGGAGTATCTGTCTATTCAACTATAAACTGAGATTGTATACTTTACAGCTACATAATATCCTTAAGATATTTGTGAGGGAAAAGTATTGGCAGGAAAAAATAATCTTATCATTTAAAACTCTGGTTGTGTAAAATTATCTCACTCACATTCCATGCTCATCAAGAAAAGTCTTATTTATAATAATTATCTCTCTGTTAGGACACTTCCTACAGGGAGAGTTCACCCAGGATGTAAGAAACATTTTGATTCTACTTGATAATTACGTGATTTACTTGAATACCAATATCCTTTGAATTTTGCTGATATCTCTCAATGTGCAGACTTAAAGCAACATGGAAAAATGAGGACTAGATTTTCCAGAATTTGGCAGTCTTTCTGAACATCAGTATTTGGAAGGCCTATTATCACTAAACTGTTCACATATCTCATGGTATCTAATAGACAACCAGATGGCAAAGTTTAAAGAAGTGTTGTTGGAAAAAGTTCATCATCCTGACATGGATTGGCCACCAGGGCATTAATCTCCATGTGAGAGGGTCCAAAGGAAAATTCATCAATAAAAGAAAGCCATGCCTGATGGTGAACATTATTTAGAGGGTTAAAATGTTTTCAGTTATACATCCATTCAGGGGCTGTGTCAGAATAGATAGACAAGGTATTTGAAAGGGAGGGGATTCTCAAAATGGAAGGAAAGTTCTGGAGAGAGATTTGAAAGGAGTCCATTCTGAGAGGTAGCCATTGATCACCACGTAAGCAGAGGGAAAAAACAGGGAAGAAGAAATACATACAGATGTAAATATACCAATCCAACATTAAAGACTGACTGAGAACACGGGAGTCCTCTGCATAGTTGTCTGCTTTCAACAACATAGACAACAACATGGAGACATGGCGCAGCAGGTAAATGTGTCTGTTTCAGAAGCATGGGGAACCTAGTTCGGACCCCATGTCAATAGTCAAGCGTGGGTCAAGCACACCTATAACCTCAGCACAGCAGGAGACAGAGACAATAGGGTCACTGAGGCTTGCTGGCTGCCAACCTAATGCTTCTTAAGAGAGCTTGACTCAAGGGATAAGGCAGAAATTGACAGAGCAGGACATCTGACATTCCTCTCTGGCCTATACATGAGCGCATATACACACATGTGAATATATACTGCAAATACTCTTCACTCACACACATCCTCTCTTCATGCACAAGCACATGCACTAGTGCACGTGGGTGTGCACGTGTGCGTGTGCGTGTGCGTGTGCGTGTGCGTGTGCGTGCGTGTGTGTGTGTGTGTGTGTGTGTGTGTGTGTGTGTGACCAAGACAAAAATTACTTATAGAATTACAGGTTGAAGAACCTGTGGACACCTTCTCTAACAATAACTGCTGAGAATTATGAAGTATGAACACCATTTAAACATGTCTCTTTTAAATAGTGATCTTCAAATTTACTAGAAACCAAAATTTGAGTCAGACTGATGAATATCTGAATGACCCCAGATCCACAACAGTTAATCAGATGCACTGAAGAGGCGCAAAAGCTGTTCTTGGAGAATAATCAGGTTATAAAAATAAAAACAAAAATTACATGGCCTTTCCTGGATGAGGATTATTTGGAATATAATATGGCAAGGTTCAAGCTTAAAGGTGACATTGAAAGTAGGATTTTTAGTGATGTGCAGGAAGGGGATAAACAATCAGAATCAGAGCAACAAGTATATGGAAGGGAAGGTTGAAGTTTAATGCCAGGAAAAGGGATGGCTGAGCAAGATCCCACTGGGAGTCTTTCCTGACCTATAATAATATCTGATCCAAGGAGCATAGCATATCTGGATCCAACTGTGGAGTGGTTGATGTCGCCATGATGGTGCCAAAAGGCCAGAGCTAGCATCCAGCAATTGAAAGAGAGCAAGGCCTGAGAGCAGTGACATCGGAGGCCAACTGGCCAGAGGTGATGGATAGTCAGATGAAGAGCTGGGAAGAGGAGGTCATAAAGACTGTGTAGGCTGCTCCCCACAAAAAATTCCAAATTTGGTGACATATAGTAATTTACATATCTGAAAATGTGGGCAGACATGAAGAGACCCACACCAAATGCTCCTTTGTGAAGATGCTGAGAGACATAGAGAACCCTAAGGTAGCAGGAGAAATTCAGGGAGATTCTGGTTCAGTATCTAGATGGGTAGGCAGGAGGTAGCAATTTTTAAAATAGTTAAATGTTATAATAGAGAACATTTCTTGGGTGAGAAGAAAATCAATAAGGCAGAAAGAATCAAATGCATCAGGGTGTGAGCCAAATGTATAAGATAGAAAGCAAATAGACAGATAATATATGTGAAAAGTCCAATTTAAAAGGGAAGACCCCAAAATCTATAAGAAACCCCCATAATCTCTAAAAATATAAACTGAAGGTAAATCCATGGAAATGCATAAACTGGCTAAGTAGCAACTCTAAATGCTCTGGAATGTCCACATTAGCATCAGATAAGTAAACATTAAATCAAAAGGGAGTTACTGCAGAGGAAGAGACATGTTTTATGGTTGTGAAAGAAAACTATTGGGAATTTGTGGGAGTTATAAATGCACAATTGTGTACAGCAAAAAAAAACTTACTTTAAAGAAAACAAAACTTATGAAACAAGACTGAATTACAAACAAAGTTCAGCTTGAATCATCTTAGAGTTCCACAGGCAGCATGAGGCAGATCAGCAAGGAAACAGAAGAGTGGACCACACTACAGATAGCAGCCTGAATCCTATGAACAAATCATTCAGCAGAATGCACATCCTTTCCAAGCATGTCCTGAACACTCTTCAGAATGAACCACATGTTACACCATAAAACCACCCTCAATAAGTTTAAAAGGCATGAATAATATGGGGTGTGTTTTCTACCCACCGTGGAATGAAAGTAGAATTTAAAAAAGGAGAAACTTAGGAAATACACAAATATTTGGAAATTAAACCTCCTCTCAAATAGTTAATGACTCGATGATAATAGAAAATATTTTATTATAAACAAGAAAAATATACAACATGCAAAAATTTTTAGACACAGCAAAAATATACTTAAAATAGAATTTCTAGCTATAAAAGCATAAAAAGAAAAAAAGCATAAAAAGAAGAAAATCTCAAATCAATAAACTTTGACCTTAATATGCCAGAAAAAGCAATACAATACCCACAGCTAAGTGTGTCTCTCCTCCATCATCCAAGAATCTTCCTTTTACAGCAGACCAAGGCCATTACAGAAATTCACAATATGTCAAAATGTAGAGAACAGCTGACTTTGGGGTGTCCATCCTTAAATGACACATCTACAACACAACCCCTACCCATTCAGGGAACATCTTGGAAAGGGGGCCCAGAAAGCCTGTAAAAGACAGAGGACTTCCCCTATGAGATAGTGTCTTGTATGGATGCACCGTGAGACCTGGGCATTGACAACACCATCATGGATAGGGTAGATCGCACAAAGCCTTTACCTAGATGAATAGCTACAGATTATTAATGCCTGTCCCATCCAGGAACAAGTCCCCACATAGGTTACCCAATCTCAAGCAGCTATCCCTAAATGCATACACATGGAGGTTCAAGTGTAAGTTTGGGTGGTCCTATTTGTTCATACTTCTGGCAAGGGTGGCAAATGGCCATAGACCTGTGCATAAATCAAGCCTTATAGCACAATTCAGGAAACACATAGAGAATGGACCAGTAGGGTTCCACAGTGTCCTCTAAGGTACATTTCCACTTTCCAAGAGTCTACAGCACCTTCCAGTATCACTACCCTGGGAATCAAACCTTCATATATGAACCTTTGAGAAACACACACCAAAAGAACTAATGTCACCTCTGGCAAATAAACAACACATGCTTATGATCTGTTCTTTTACCTTTCCATGCATTTCTGCTCATTCCCAAGGACCAGGTTGAAAGACTAAAATGATGAGGTGTCATAGGAGGAGAAATAAGATCTGAACAAGTGTTAGGTCTTTCCCTGGAATTTTTTTAATGAACTTAAATATTGGCAAAAGTGTTTTTCCTTCCGGTGATTTATAATTTTTAAAATGAATTCATACAGAAAGCCTTGGTCATCTAGTTTGATGTTTCATGCAATAGTCGGGCCATGAAAATTCATGAAGAGAAATATTAACTTTTTCATTATGAAGAAGAAAGATAATGAAATATGTATGAAGTACCTGTGGACATCTGGCAGCACTGTAGCAGTCTCCAGCTGTAGCAAATGGAACTGCCTTTCCAAATAGTGTCTTGGAAAAAAGAAGATCTGTAGCTGTAAAAAAAAAAAAAAATACAACTCATTACTATGGAAACAGCAATGTCTTCTTTATTTTTCAAATATGCAGTTTGCATAGTATCTTAAATATTCTTATATGATTAGTTAAAATTTTAACAAAATACCACCGCTACAGCATGTAATATAGGGCTGCCTCAAATGGATACAGTTTATTTAACACAAAAATATACATGACCGACTGGATGGTGGTGGCACACGCCTTTTATCCCAGCACTTGGGAGGCAGAAGCAGGTGGATCTCTGTGAGTTTGAGACAAGCCTGGTCTAAAAGAGCTAGTTCCAGGACAGCCTCCAAAGCCACAGAGAACCCTGTCTTGAAAAACCAAATATATATACATATTGTCCTAAAAAATCACATAGTGCATATGGAAAAATAAGTACATGGTCATTCACATTTTACACCACAGCAAATATCTGAAATAGAAGAAGGGGCTCAAGAAGAAAATCAGAGAAATAAAAAGAAGCTCTTTAAAGGCAGACCCATTGCAACAAAGCAGTGAGAGTGCACATGCACTGTGTCTATACCAATTCACTGGTGCAATTCTTTTCTTTTGCAATTCTTTTGCTGACATTGTTAGCAAAATGTCCTGATTGGAGGTATCACTGGGGAGTTTACACAAAATACCAAAACTGGATTCACTACGCAGAATCCTCAAACTCAGCTCTTGCAACCACCCATGCCTGCATTGCTTACTTAGACAGCATCCCAACAACGGCTATTAGCTCCATTGAGTTGATTCAAGTCACAGACAAATTACTTCACACTCTGTGATGATAGGGGTCCTTTCGACACAGGTCCCCAAAGTAGCATTTATGCAAACATCTTATCTCTAAGGACAGTTACAAAAATGGTCGGACCTTTCATAGTTCTCCAGAGGAATTATATGCACCTCCAAAGCCTCAGTCCATGTGGTCATGATGGTGAGCTTACATGAGGCATGGGTGGAATATATAAGGCAGGGAAATTACAAACAGCATAAATTGGAGCCATTCCAGGAGAGGTAGCTGTTAAACATGCATCCCCATTCTACTGCTTCTTTGTGGCACTATAGATTAGGCTGGTGTTGAACACAGATGCGAGCTTCCAAGTGTAGGTTGCTATCTCCTCCAACAGTATGAGCAATCAATAGCACCCATGTCATAGTGATAACCCATAGTGTGTATATAGTTCACTCTGATGTTTCCAGCACATCACCCAGATTATTACTGGCATCATTCCTTGGGTGCTCTGCAGGTTTGTCTTAACTATATGTGCCCAAACTAAAATGCAGTTTTCTGTTTCTCTTCCCTCATTACACTAGCTTTGACTCTTACAATTTTACATGAATTATTACATTCAATTCCTAGTTGTTGCTATGACTACAATTTGTTCTCCAGCACTCTGTTATTTTTCTTCTGGCTTATGATTTCACTCCGTGGTTCCTAGAGACTATAATACAAATTCAACTATGCACACTAATCCTCCCTTCTTATCCAAAGGACATGGTCCCAGGACCCTTCAGCTGCCCTACTGTGGATAATACTGACTCTTACTGAAAGCTGAAGGCTATATCATGACAGCTGAACACAAAGAATTCATTACCAGGTTTAGAGGAGGGTGGGCCACTGATAACTTTGATAAGAACAATGTCAGATGAGAAAGACAATAAGAAGTTACTTAGCATACATTCAGGACAGAATAGGAAAAATGAGAGAGAGACAGAGGGAGGGGATAGTGTCTCATTTAAGAAATATTACTATCAAGAAACACAGAGAAATGGGGCATGATGGTGTATGCATTTAATCCCAGCATTCAGACAGAGGCAGGCAGATTTCTGAATTTGAGGCCAGCCTGGTCTACAAAGCAAGATCCAAGACAACTATAGCTACACAGAGAGACCCTGCCTCAAACAAAAGGATATGGGGGTAGGAGGAAGAAGAAGAGAGGAAGAAAGGAAGGAAAGAAAGAAGGGAAGGAGGAGGGTGGGAGGCAAAAAAGATAGGAAGGAAGAAAAAAAAAGAGAAATCAAAAGCCCTTAGAGGCAGCTTCTAATCTTACAAATGAAGGAAACTGTTTAAAGAGATACCCAGGGCTATGTGGTAATGGGAACAAAACATTCACATACAATAGGATTCCAAGGTCTATGCTCCTTCCTGCCTCAACACAAAACTGCTTCAACACCACAAACATGCCCCATCCTCCCTGACTCATGCAGAAGTTTAATACATAGCATTGCATGCCAATTAAGTGGGTAGAAACACAGTTCAACTATAGTAGATCAGAAACCAAAAAAGAAAAATACAAGGGGTATGGAGAGATGGCTCAGAAGTTAAGACACCTGCTGTCCTTGCAAAATCGAGTTAGGTTCCCAGCACCATGCCAGGTGACTGACAACTACCTGCAACTCCAGCCGCACAGGATCCAACACCCTCTTCTGGCCTCTTCAGGCACCCACACTCATGCACACACAATGCCCCCCAAATAATAATAACACAAATCTTTATTTTAAACCATAAGGCTAATGTAAAGGTAATTTTGTTCTCTCATGTAGAAGAGTCTATGTTTTAAGGTGGGGCCTTTGGGGAAGGATTATTTTAGGTTTGGTCACCAGGGTGGAGCCCAAATGATGGAGGTGGGTACCTAAACAGAGAAACCATATTATCATATACACACATACAATCCCATCACCAAGGCCTGTGCTGTGCTAATTGATCTTTCTTTATAAAACAACTTGCCTCAGGTATATCAGGAGTTATACAAATGGACTAAAATACTGCAGTAAAGCCAGTAACTGTCATTACAAGAAGAACATCAAATGGCCATAATTTAGATACTGCACATTCATGCACATTCTGTTTCTATGCACTGTATAAGGTGCTGGCTTCAATGAGGATGGAAACAGGGCCTCTGATGACAGGCAGGCACTCTTTGCTTCTTCATGCAGAGATACAACTCTCAACATGAAACTGCACTGTGGCCAGCGTGCTGCAGGGTCCATAGGTATCTGCAACTTGGTTGAACTACCAGTTAATTTCTAGAAATATGGAATGTTCTCCAACCTGAGTTCTCTAAACAGGCCTTCATTCCTCCTCAGTAGTGCTTAGCTAACTATAAACTAAGACAAGCCACTCTCATAAGAGAAATTTAATTTTATCATCTATGACAGCTTGATATAATATCTATCTTATCTGATACAGGGTTGTTTAAAGGATAAAATGATGTGATACAATGCCCAATAGTTCATAATCTGGAACTAATGTTATTGCTTTAAATCTTACAAAAAAACTTACACTTTTGTTGAGGATATTCATTTATTTCAACTTAATATGGTTGGGGATTTTTTTTAAATGTATCACTTAAGTAAGCCTTATTTGAGGCAACTATCTTATTACTGTCATTATATATCATTTGTAACAAAGGCCTTCATATTTCATGCCATTACAGGGAACATACATATATCTAATAATTGTAAAGGAAGCCATTCTGTATAATTCTGGGTTCTTCATTATATCCTGTCATATATACTAGTCCATGGCTGGACTTTTCCTTAGCAAGTGGAGGCCTTTTGTTTTCCAAGGAGACCCAGCACTTACTTTTGATTTGCATGGAAGTGAGATCAACTCTCACTTTGCTGAAAGCAGTGTATCCAGCTGGTAGGTAGTCATTTTTACACACACAGTCTTGCCTCCTACTTCCATTGAAGGGGCATTCGTAGGGATTTTGAAGTCTGTAACAACATTGGGACATTTTATTATTTGATACATTTGTTAGACCCCAGTGTGGTAAATAATGAAGTTAGAAGAGGTGAAACAGAGCTGGGAAGTGGTAGTGTTTAATCCCAGCCCTCGGGAGGAAGAGGAGGTGGATCTCTGACTTGGAGGTCAGCCTAGTCTACAGAGAAAATTCTAGGACAGTCACAACAACACCCCCCCACACACACACACACAGACACACACATACAAGGGGGTGGGGGGAGTAAAACAGAAGAAAGAAGTAAATACTTTCTTCTTCCATACCATGGTGACAACACACTAACTGAAAAAGAAACAGAATTCACCAGGAGTAATGTGTAGTTTGAATGTAATTGGCCCCCATAATCATAGGGAATGGCACTACTAGGAGGTGTGGCTTTGTTAGAGTAGGTATGCCTTGTTGGAGGAAGTGTATCACTACAGAGGCTGGTTTTCAGGTTTCTATGCACAGGATATCACCCATGTCTCTGTCAATTTCTTGTTGCCTGCAAGATGTAGCTACCTCTCCAGCATCATGTCTATCTGCATGCCACCAGGCTCCCCAACGTGATCATACTGAACTGAACCTCTGAAACTGTAAGCAAGCCCCTTTTCCTTACAAGAGTTATTATAGCCATGGTGTCTTCACAACAATAGAAACCCCAACTAAGACAACCAACAGGCAAAATTCTTAGTGGGAAATCAAGTTATATTTCTACAAAAAAAGGGGGATATAATTCTCCCAGATTTCTATGAAAATAGACAAGATCTTAAACTTATCCCTTCTGCATTGTCCTGCACACACCCTCTATATGATTACAGGCTAATACAATGGCTAAGATCCTAATGTGTTCACCTCTTTCTCAATTGCCTGTCCGACATGTGAGCAATCCCAATGTCATGCCAAAGGCTCAATATCTGTGGTCCCTAAAAGCGTACAGCTAGAACAAAGCATTTCATACCTAAGGCCATATACTTCAGAAAAGTTGTCTTCACCTTTGACCAGTGATAAATATTCTTTAGGATTCTCCAGTTGCATGCCCGAGCAATGGATCTAAGGGGAACACACAAATATCTAGAAAACACTTGCAAAGACAGGATCAAAGTTAAAATCAATTAGGAAATGGCTTTCATAATACCTTCACTATCCTTCCCTTGATGTTAAGGTCGTAGTCACCATCTTTGGTAATGTTGTTCATAACTTGGATTTCTTTGCAGGTGGTTAATGATTTGCCTTCAAGAACAAATTAACACCACACATCAACACTGAACAAATCCCAAACAGCATGGACTTGACCATCAGAATCATGGCTGTACTCTGAAGGTCTGACACTGTGTTGCAGAGTGTGACAACTGCATGTATCTAGTTTCACATTTGAACTAAAACTTAGGGACACTGGATGCTGGGTAGATTTTGGAATCTATTACTTACAGTCATTGGCATAACATTTCTTTTGAGCATCTGGCTTTAAACGCTTTAAGCATAAGTCACTGGGCCAACCGTTCTCAGTCCTGCATTCTACTCTTCTCTCCATTATCCCATTTCCACAAGTTACTGAGCACTGTCAACACAGTAAAGTTTAAGGGAGAATATATAACAAGTAATAAGGCCAGGAAATCCATACTGCCTTCTCCAAGACTAGGCTCTTTAAGAACAAAGTGAGGGTCAGTAATGGTTAGAACTATGGGAGATGCAAAAATATTCTGGGGCAGGATAGGCACTGGAGAAAAAAATCCTTCAGTATGAGCCTGCAGCTGTTGTTTCTCAGCTACTGGTTTCTTGTCATTTATTTTGTACAATTGTATCATTAGCAATCTACAAACATTCAGCAAACATTAGTTGATGAGGCTTATTAAAACTGCTTATATATACATAACATGCTGCAAATACTTAATAAACATTAATCTCCTTTATTACTGTTATTACAGCTACCTAGAAGTTTTCCTTATGATGAAATTACAAAGCAATGTTACTGTATTTCCATTAATTTAGTTAATAAATAGAATGTGGTATAAATAATTTTTATTATAGATATATTAGAGAAAGCTTCTTTGCTTAGTTGATATTTCTGAAGTACCTACATAAAGTCCAAACCACTGTACATGTTCTCCAAGGACAACAAATGGGGATTATTGTTATCTTCTTATAAGCAAGTTAGAATAAGCACAGAAGTGATAAGATATTTATACTACAACTAATAAGACAATGGTGTAGAAGATGACTTAGAAGGTATACTTAAAATGCAGATTGCCGGGCATCCCACCTCTGAAAAGCCTTATGAAAAGGGCCTTAAATTCAGAATTCTGAACTGACCTTGCTCCATTTCCCCACTTTCCAAGTGGCTACATGCAAACAGCTTCCAATGTTGCATTTGTACACCTGGGGAGACGGTGTCACGGGGCACTCTTCATAGTCTACAGGCCTCAGCTGATAGAGCGCATGCTTCTTAGAGGACTGGATCCTGGTGCAGTATGTAATCTTCTGTGGGTGAGTGAACCCACAGTTACCTGCACACTGGTAAGGAAATAGAGAGTCCTGAAACTCGCCCAAGGCCTAATGTCTGTCAGCTGCTTAATATGTATCATGCATATCATTTCTACCTCAATTTGCTTAACCAGCTTCATTCATGGTGAGGAAGCCAAGGTGTGGAGGCATTTAGGCAGCTTACACGGAGTCATGCCAGAAAACATGAAACATCAAGATTCATCCTAGATTTTGCATTTGAGGACCCTGTGAAGTTTCTCTCTTTCCATTCTTGAACCCATTATTCTGCCTACTGGATTTAGTTCCTGTTCTTATGTCATTTCGACCATCTTGGTTCTTCACACAATAAAATCAGAAGTTAGAAAGAATTCAGAAATACATGTTCTTTCTTTCACAAGACTGTTTGGATAGGCAGAGTCCCTTACATTTTGATTTGAACAGCTTGGTAAATTCCTGAGAAAGCTGATTGGAACTTTGTGAAAAGGTCAACAACAACACCATGGCTCACTGTGTTTCAACAGAGATGGCAAGTCAACTCAATAGGGAAATAATAACCTCTTTCTCAAGTTCTATTGGGTTTGTAGGGCAGCCATGTGCAGTTTTGTAGATGTGGGTAATGGCTTCATATCATTAATGAAAATAGCCAAAATTTATCAGATCTAAATAGATGAACTAAAATGATAAGACTTAGAATAAAATATAAGTGTATATCCTTCTGGCCAAAACTAGGCAGTGATTTTATAGCTGTGAACCCTAAAGCCCACAGAACCACAATAGCAAAAGGACTAATAAAGTTGACATCAAAATTTAAAATATGTATCAAGAAATTACCAAGCATGGGAAACCTGCCTTCTAGTTGTCTGTTAGGAGAGCCCAAGAACCCTCTCCCCAAACAATACAGGCTATTGCTATTGCCCTTGGTTAACTCCCAAACCTTGAAGGTGTGACCCTATTGCTGAAGATACCATACAACTTGGGAGGATTGAATTAGAACTGATCTGGAAGCTTCTTCCTTGAGGACAAGATTTAAAAATATGGGATACCATACAACTTGGGAGGATTGAATTAGAACTGATCTGGAAGCTTCTTCCTTGAGGACAAGATTTCATAGTATGAAAGGTGTTAAGGTAGAGAAGCAATTAAGTCCCATCCTGCAGGCATCTGTGAACTCTAACAATGACCAGCATGGCAAGATATGCTCAAGGATGAGAGAGTGTCATACATCTTGGAAGTAATTGGCAGTTGTCTAACTGGATTAAGACCCACTTACTAAGGTAAGAATTCATGTCCTGATACTAGTCAACTAGTAACTACTGGTAAACTAGTCAACTACCTGCAGCTGGTGAGATCATAAACCCAGAGGATAATGTACTTTCCTAAGCCAGCTTAATTCCCAACAGTATTCTAAATCCCTATTTTACACCCCCCTCAATCTCTCATCAGAGATGCTTCTTTTATGCCAGGGTGTTTTAGCAGAAGGGAAAGAAGCTAAGGTAACCAATTCCCAACAGTATTCTAAATCCCTATTTTACACCCCCCTCAATCTCTCATCAGAGATGCTTCTTTTATGCCAGGGTGTTTTAGCAGAAGGGAAAGAAGCTAAGGTAACCTTACCTGCGATGAGTCTCCTGTCACTACCACATACTTGCAGAGAGGGTTCCTGCACTTCTTGGTTGAAAGAGGTTTCGTTAAAGGATCGCAGAAACTTTCATTCACTTGTATATTTTTTTCATTCATGCATTTCACTGGACGATAGGTCTCTTTTTTCTTGCATGATGTTGAACACTAGACATGTGATGAGAAAGCCAGTAACAATTTCCTATGTGCAATGTCCTTGCAAGCATGCTTGTCAAGATAGGGGTATAGTGGTACATAATTGTGAAGTCAGAACTCCAGAAGGGAGGCAGGAGGATCACGATTTCCGGCACAATGGCGGCCACAGGAGCCTCTGCCTCATATTCAGGGGGTAGGGGAAGATGGGACAGAACAGGATAAGGAAAAGGAGAGAAGAGGATGGGAGAGTAGGGGTGAGGAGGGAAAGCAAGGGAAGGCAAGGGAAGGCAAGGGAAAAGAGAGCTCAGCAGATAAAGCACTTATGGACAAGCCTAGCAACTTGAGTTCAACTGAATCCACACAAGGTCCTCTGACCCCACACACATGTGCCAAAACAAACACAGCAATTTTCAACATTCTCACACAACCCCACACCCACCCAAACACCCACACACACCCACCCACACACACGAAAACACACACACACACACACACACACACACACACGAACACGAACACACACATTCGTACACATATGCATACAAAAATGACAATAATAAAGTTTTTAAAAATTAAAAAGCAAAGAAGAAGCCATACCCTTGTTAACACTCACATCTAGCCAGGGTCCTGCTGTCCACTGGTATTTCACACAGTCCTGATGCCAGCACTGGCGGTGTTCCTGAGGCCGGGTGGCTGGATCACACATGTCTTCAGCCACTGGACCGGTGCCTCTCAGTCTGCAGTACACTTCCCTCCGCTGCAGCCCTGAGCCACAGGTCACAGAGCACTACAAAGGAGCCCAGAGGATCTGAACAATGTAGCTAGCAAGTACTAAATCACATATTGAGAGCAAAAGAGAGCATCCATCACACATTTTCTTATTTGTTGTAAACCTGTCTTGATGTCATATCATACATTAGATAGAAAAAAATAATCCCCGAGTGTGTTTACCATTGTCTTATCTAGAGATTCTATATAAGTACATAGATTTTTTTTAAAAGCTGTTATTCACAAAGTACTTCAAGTTTTCTGGAAACTCAACTGAATCAGGCTGTCCTAGATGGCATCCCAGTGGGGTAACCCCTTCTTGAGTTAAATATACTTAATGTCTATAAAAATCACCTCAAAGGGCTACTCCACTGTTCTAAATGAGACTTCAATTCTAGTACACACATTATTTCCCACAAAACAATAATTTCTAAGACTTTTGCTATATTTGTATTTTATGTGCAACATCCACTACAATTTGAACATGTTGTGGGTTCAATTAGTTGCTAAGCTGTTGAGTCTTGACTATATTTCTATGAGCTACATTCTGAAGAAGCTTGTATAAATGACAAAAGTTAGACAACCTTCTCTTGGTCTTCCAGTCCTCATTTTTTGCTAGCATTTCTAATGAACATTTGTTCCTGTGTGTGTATTTCTACAAACACTTCTTTCAGTCACTCCAAGATTCTCTGAGACTGGAGATCTCACATCAGCTTGGCTATTCTTTCCCAGTGCTTCCCAGGACTGCCCTTACCCCGCACACAGCAGGGCAAGCCTTTACCACACATGCCTCTGGGCTCCCCCTGCCCTACGCTGGTACCCAGTTCCAAATCCACACCGTTGTTTTGATACTTGTTGCAACAGCATCACCATCATTTGCAATTTTTCCTCCACATCTGTTTGAGTTGCTGTTCATATACACCTATGGGTGGCTCAAAAGCAACAGACATTTATATCTCAAGGGTGGAAAGTTCAAAATGAAAGCACCAGAATGTTTGATATCTGGTGAGGAGATGCTTCTTGTCTTATAGATGGTCATCTTTCCTTCCTTGCCCACAAAACAGGCTAGGAGATCTCTAAGGGCCCCCTTCACATGAAAGATAATATCAATTACAGAGCCTCCACCCTCAAGATTAACTTCCCAAAATCCCTACCTCCATAGTATTACTTGGAGGGGGCAGTATTTTAACATATGAGTTTGGGGGGGATACACTCTTAGTATGATGAAGGACAATTGAAGCTTTGCTCTCTCTGTTGAACCCTCACCGACTTGCCTCCTAGGAATGAAGACTCCACAAGTCTTCAGCTCTGGGGTGTCAGGTGTTCCCAGGCACACTCAGGTCATAATAGCAGATACTAACTACAACAGAAAGCTGTGAAGTCAACATTAACAAATTTGGAGAAGGTTGAAAGATATTTATTAATTGTGATTTTTGGTTGTCTGTGTCCCATTATTCAAGAAGGGATTGGAGGTCACATAGGGTAATAATGTTTGAAGACTCATTGGTATTCTCAAGTGAGATAAGAAAAAAATATGTAATTGTTTTTCAAGCTCTCTTTTTTTTACAGAGATCTAAGCCCCTCTTTTCCACTAAAAGATAGCTTTTATAATAAGAAAAATATTTAAGTCCCACAAAAGCTAAGATCTGAACTTACCCAGTGGCTCAGATCATTCTCACAGACCACAGCAGCTTTTCACTTGAGTGACTGCCAAGTCTGATCCCCTGGCTTGCATGGTTACATGGCAACCACAGACATCAAAGACACATTCTGTCTTCTCACTTCTGAATACTGTGCATATTTCTCCAGCTTACATTGACCTGCATGCTATGCATAGGCTATTGAGTTCTCCCAACTCATTAAATGTGTTCACAAAAATGTCATCTGGCCCTTGGTATGGGAGCAACAATGTATGCTTTGCAGCATGCATAATACTACATAGACTGACATACCTAGATGCTGTTTAGCTCAGGTGAACCTCTTACAAAATGACTAGCCGATAAAATAGATCAGTTTTATAGATCTGAAAATCTTACAATCTGAGAAACATAAACTGCATTTACATAAGATCCACATTGTTATCTTGAAAGTGAATTCTTGAAAAAAAATAGTTTACAAAATACTTTAAAGCAAGAGGTTCTATCAAACAGTGTCCTTTAAGTCAACAAAAAGCAGGGTTTGTTTGGTTTTGTCTTTCGACATGGCCAAATTCTTTTTATTTTGAACATGGTGACTTAGTTATAAAAGGACTTATCATCTCTTCACAGATTACAGTTGTCATATTGTTGGATTGTTAAACATGGAGGATGTGTGTACACCTCTGGACCAAGATGTACAGAAAAACATCATATTAACTTTCCCAAAGAGGGCAAAACACTGAAAAGGCACTGGACAACCAAATCCACAGATACTTCCAATACACAGTGGACAACTCTCAAGTTGAGCTCTGGTAGGACCAAGGTGGTGGGGCTGTGAAGTAGGACAATGGTTTGCTCTTCTTGACCTTCTTTGTGGCTCCCGAACATCTTTCTCTGCTGTATCTGTTCATTAGTGTATCGAAGGGGATCTTTTCTGACCTTTGACCATCTGCCCCACAAAAGCAAATACATCATCCTTCCCAACAAGTTGGCTTGACTTTCTACTAAAAATGAAATATGAAAACTCTGCTAAAGGAATGGGTTTCCAGGGCTTCAGAGGTAGGGATGAATGTTAAGATCAAAAAAGACACAAATACTCTATACAGAGTCTGCCTTCTAAAAAGAATTGATTTTCCTTGTCATAGAAGTTAGCTCCATTCACCTACACAGTCCCCAAGTCTCTGCCAGAAACAAATGGCCACCCATGTGACTCTACTGTTTGATTTATTCTATAAAAAGTACTCTCATGAAGCCAAAAATTTTAGGCTGTCCTTGTACTACAAATGGTAATGTGTTCTACACATGTAGACTTTCAGAGGGACTCACGAGATAATCACTGGTTGCTTCTCTGTTCCAATGGCATAAACTGTAGCATGGCTTGAATATAATTATTGTAAAATAAGTTCATTTTTATTGCCACCTTGCATGATGCCTCAACTACAAAGACTCATTTGGAAAACAGCTGGCCAGATTGTTCAAATAACTTTTAAAGGAGTGAGTTTCATTTGTTATCTGATAATATTTCTAATGGAAGTATTTAGTGATGCATGTTAATTGCTGCTGTTAAACAATGACAATCATTGAAATATAAGACCATTTGTGCCTTCTTTCCAGATGTGTGGGTTTAGAGGCAAATTAAATACTTGAATCATTAAAACTAACAAATGAACTCACCACCCCTGCACATACACACTGTTCTAGAAATAAGACGACCTTTTTCAATTGTGTTTAGGGAATCCCAGCTTTGCTTGTTAACCCCACATTGAGCAGAGTTCTCAGTGTGTCAGGTCCCAACTATGATACTGAGTGTCATCCACATGGACAGTGTCTATGCTTAGGGGAAAAGTTTCTAGATTTCTTATCTCCCTTGAACAGGGCCAACCTAGTAGACAATTTAGCAGGCAATAAAAGAATCTCATTCTACTCTTTTTACTTCAGAGATTAGTCAAATATCACCAAGCTCCCAGCACAATAACCCTTTGCAGAAGCTGCCTGTTCTATGATGAAACCAGGGGGGGGTTGTTTTGTTTGTTTGTTTGTTTTTACTCAGTATTAATGAGATGACACAGTACCACTCAAAAGCCAACTGTCCATTTAAAAAGTATATAGGTTTGGGATTCTTGTCCCTGAATATTCTGAGGCATACATCCAGTTTTCTTTCAAAATTGAATTGTCAGTATGGACCTCCTTTGTTTATCTGTTTCTTTCATGCTGAGATTTCTTAGCCCATTCACAGTTACCTAGATCTCACACCCCACTTGTTCTGCATGCAATTTACTATCTGTCTCTCCAGGATGCCATCTTTACTGACATCCAACATTCTGAGATTCAAACAAGGACATTATTAATACATCACTGGATATATTTTGTTGTTAGATGACCAAGATGATATCAGTAGCTATGAGCCCCAAGTTCACTAGCAGAGTTTCCTGTAAATATAACCTCAAAATAAAATCAGTCAAGCAAATTGTTTTACCATTAGACTTAAGCAAATGCAACAACACTGAATATTGTTGAGCATGGTGAAGAAATTTCTATAATAAAAGCACTGTTAACTCTCACAGTGATTACAAATACTGAATTCAGATTTCTAAAATGCAAGTATGAGATATCTAGAAATGAAGTATAGGTGGAAAGGAAGGGAAGAAGGAATGAAGGTAGATGATTGATAGATAGGTGGAATAGATGATAGATCAAATAGAGGATGATAGACAGATAGATAGATAGATAGATAGATAGATAGATAGATAGATAGAATATGTGATAGATAGATTAGATAGAAGATGATAGATAGCTAAGATAGAATAGATAGATGATAGATAGATAGATAGATAGATAGATAGATAGATAGATAGATAGATAGATAGATGATAGATAGATAGAGATAGACAGAACATGTGACAGTTGTAAAATGCCACATACCTCCTTCCATCTATTGGCTTTCCATGAAGGGCATCGTCCCGACCTACAAGCTTTATGAGTTCGAGGTTTCTGCAGATGACTGCAATATTTTTCTTCTAATTTTCTTTGGAATTGATCAATGCAAAGGACCTCTCGGTACTTTGTACCTCTGCCACAAGAAGTTGAGCACTACAGAAGATATTCAAATACATACAATGTATTTTTATTAGCTTATCTTCAAGAAATATAAAACAAAGTAAACAAAACGCCATTGCTTCAACATTCTTGTTCCACATTGTCTGGTATTTCCAGTTAGTGAGAATTTGAAATTTGCCAATCTGCTCTGACTATTAATTTATATTGATATTATAAAACAACCATTTCTTCCACAGAAGTACTGATTGTCTAAAATGTGCTAGGCATAGACTCTGGCACATAAAGATTTAGATTCACTAAATTTAAAAACTGTCTTTAACCAACTGAACATTATGCCCAAACCTGTAATCTGGTATGTACATAGGTCACTATCTCATATATATGTATTATAATATTTTACACTAAAATATGATTTTTCTTTATAAAAACAAAAAGTCCTCATGATCACTCAGTATAGTGAGCCAACTGAGAGATCAGCATTGTTTCTTAATACATTATGTTAATATCTTCCACATCTGTATCCTAGCAGCCATCCAATATAGACAAAAAAGTCTTTGAAAATATAATTCCATGCATGATGTCAGTGTAGTGCAGTAGACAGCTTAGGCTTTGCATGGAAGGCAGAGTCACACGGAGTGAAGCAGAAAGTCAACTCCAGAAAACAGAACAGTTTTCATTTTCGACTCTTTCTCTTCCACCTTATTTTAGTTTACTGGAGTTACCTACAGTATGATTAGTTTAATCCAAACTGTTACTAAACACATTATAAATGTAAACCAATTATTTAAACATGTTTCACATGAAAATTTTTATTTTTACTAAAGAAAACTTAGTAAACATAATTTCAAGTATATTTCTTGTCTGCTCAAGAAATGGCAATGCTCTTCTTTTGTATTTGCTTCTTTCTCTTCTTACTTCATCGTATATGCAGTTTTAATCAAGATTTTTTTCAAACTTTGTATTATATAGCTTGTCATCATGTTTTTTTTTTCATTTCACTTTATGTGTAAAGGGTGTTTTGCCTCCATATATGTCTGTGCACCACATGTGTGCAGTGCCTGCAGAGACCAGAAATGGACACTGGATGCCCTGAGACTAGAGTTACAGATGGTTGTGAGCTGCCATAGGAATTAACGAGCAGCCAGCATGCTTCACTGCTCAGCCATCTCTCCAACTTCATTATCATGAAAATTTTGAGGCAAATAAATTTTCCTCACTCTTTAATGTTAAACAATGCTCATTATTTTCTCTCTTAGATTAACTATCCCAAGTTCGTTTACTTCTCTACAAGCCCTAAATTTGTCTAAACACACAGGCATGAGCACACACACCCACACCCACAGTTCTCTAAGCTACAAAAGCCCTGAAATCAAAGATTTGAAAGTAATTTATGCTTTGGATAGACTTAAAATAAAACCCTTTCTCTTGAGTTCTGAACAAGTACAGATCTGTTTCCCTCAAGTCCTAAGGAAGAGTAACTGCAGTATTTTATCACGTCTGATGAATGCCATGTGGGAATTTCTCTAAAGTAAAAGAGAAGATGCTATGCAAAGAATTATGTTTTCATTGGAAAGAGGCAGCGACACCATAAACAATAGTGAAACATTACTTCCCTTCTTCACCTTAACCACACTGCATTCTGGACTGTGAAAACTCTACAAAGTAGTCCATCTCATAAAAATCCACAAAACAGCTATTGTTTCCTCTGGTGCCACAAAAATGTTTGTTTTTTTTTTCTCTCTCAACGTTTAAACCACCAATATCTTATTATTCTCCTGAAATTTTATTAATGCCATACAGCTCTTTTCTCAAATTCTTGTCGATGATATTTTCTTAAAAGTCACCTGTATCCCCTACACTCTTGCAAAACGTGTGGATTGCTTATTCAGAACAATAGTTCCCCTGGTAATTTCTCATCCATTTTCTACAACATACTTTGATCACACCCACCACCCTCCTCTCCTGTCATCTCCTTCCCTATCTCAATTCCCACCCTCTCCTCCAACTGCTGAAGATGGTTTATAAGCACAGAACACAAGTTGCTTCCTCTACAGTGACAGTGAATAACCATTCAGGTATTCTTAGTCAATGCTGCTTACAAATGAGATGAATAAAAATTTCTACTAAAAACAAAAACAGGGCATTTGAAGGAAATGCACAGTTTGCAAGTTTGCAAGTTTGCAATGGATCCCCTCCAGGCTTTCAGGTGAGCTGAAACTTCCTATTCTAAGAGAATTCAGTCTTCACTGATAAGAATTAACTCAAGAACAGGGATATTCTTCCTTCGACAGAATTGTTTTGTGTAATTATAGAATAAAATTATTTGTTATTTCAGGTACAGATGACAGAAAAATCAATGACTTGATTGTGGAGACTTTTTGACTAGTTTTAAAAACACAAACTTCTGAAGAAAAGCAAATGATGAAATGAAGGTTGTCTTGATCTAACACATGGGATCCTTTGCCTCTCCAGATGTTTATAAACTTGTTTAATCCAGAACTTTATCCTTTCTGACAGTTGTGGGAAGCATACCATCACTGGGAGAGTTAGTATGCATGCTAGTTAGCACAAACACAGCATCCTGAATCGCATCTATTGCTTTCTACCTCCGTGATCCATAGCCAGCCCAGTACAGACCTCCATTTTTATGTGACATTAGTAAAATCACATCTGTGGAGGCAAAAAAGGAGATTTCCTTCTTTATGTGAAGAAATGATTAAATAAAAGACCTAAGAACATTTACAGACTATGAAAATTGTAAAACCATGTGAATCAATAAACAACCAGAAGACTGCTACAGAACAGCACACTGAGGCTTAAAGATGCTTTCCACGGCACAAATGGAGTCCAGTAAATGACAAAGATGGAGGTCAGTGAATGAGACAGTGTATAATGTCGTTCCCAGGAAAGTACTCTGCTCACCCCATGCCAGGAAGCCAATGTATGCCATTTCCTTCCTCATCAAACGCCATCACAATTTCATTCCTGTTCCATACTGAGCTTAAGCATCATTTCCTTTCTATAAACTGTCTCCCTTTCTATCAAGAGTCTTGTTTTATAATAATAGACATTTGTTTTCGCCTAATCTGTAAGGATCTTTGATTCAGAATACACATGCTTAGCTTGGCTCTTACAGATCTCTCCTTCAAATTCTGTTTCTCATTTGTTCATTCAACATGCCTCTAATTGTCTATTCTCTGCCTCTTTTTCTCTTGGACAATAAACAAACCAAGAACAGACACACTCAAGAGAAGCATGGAAAATAGAAAGACCTCAGAATCACTTGTTCCCAACTTAATGTGTTACAAATTGTTTGTTTTCCCCTTCTGTGAGGAAGAGATGATTGCAGTACACCATATACACTATAGACCAGAGAAGTGTGTGCTCATTCACTCCCTGGTGCTTCTCCAACCAAACCTTGAGAGAAGAAAGAGACACTGATAGGCCAACCAGGAAGCTCACAAAAGTGAAGTCTCAGCAAGAAGATTACAAATTACTAAGACTCAGGAAGCCTGTCTCCGAGGTTACATAAGCAATGAACAATTGCTAAGGACAGGAGACCAGCAGAGCAGTCTGAAGCTTGTACAAGGAGCTTGAGGATTTGACTTTAGTGAGATATCACTCTTGTAGTGATGTAGCTGCCTTTGTGTTCCTCGTGTTCCTGTAAGTAACCACAAAACCTCATTTGCTGATCAAGCTGGGCTTTGATGGAATCTTTTCTTTGGTCTGCAGCTAGTGCTGCTTCTGGGGTGAATAGACAGCTATTCATGACTCCCCAGGAAAAACCAGGCAACAACATACTAATAATCATTTTCAGTTTAATCCTTGAAGTTCATGTAATGGTTATCTGGAAAAAATCTTAAGTCTGGTCTGTAGAATAGAAGTCAAAATTAAAACTGTAAAAATTGGAAATGTGTATTTCATTTGCTTTAGTATAGTTCTCTATGAAAACACATATATTCCCATGCAAGTGCATATATAGTTTATTCTTTTTGTTTGTTTGTTTGTTTGTTTGTTTTTGAGACAGAGTTTCTCTGTGGCTTTGAAGGCTGTCCTGGAACTAGCTCTTGTAGACCAGGCTGGTCTTGAACTCACAGAGATCCGCCTGCCTCTGCCTCCTGAGTGCTGGGATTAAAGGCGTGCGCCACCACCGCCCGGTGATAGTTTATTCTTTAATTGGGCTATTTTTCTATGTTTGTCATGTAAATTGTATTTATACTTCCCTAAGAATAATTATTAAAACTAGTATTCAACTGTTGGAGTATAAATTAATATAATGATTATGGAAAACAGAATGAAGTCCCTCAGAAAACTAAAATCACATCTACTTTATGGTTTGGCTGTTCCAGTCCTGACTGTATACCTGAAGGAAATAAAGTCAACACACAAAAGAGAGACCTGCATAGTAGGTGGCCATCAGCCAAAGAGTGGACGCAGAAAGCCTGCTACATGTACAGAGTGCCTTTGTATCTCACCATTAAGAGGAATGATTTTTCAGAAATATGGGATGGAATTGGAGCTGATCTTGTGGGTGAAATTAGACAGACACAGAAAGACAAGCATCCCTTGCTCCCTCCCTCCAGAAACAACAACAAAACTTCAACAAGATTACATGAAAATAGAAGATGGACTGAGAGAAGAAAAAGAGGAAGGGGATCTGAAGAAGAGGGGTTAGTGAAGTTGCTGTGATAAACACAGACACAAATCCTGGGGGAGGAAATCTGACCATCTCTGAGAGAAGTCAGAGCAGGAAGCCGGAGGCAAGAACTGAAGCAGAGACCATGGGGCATGTGTTAGTACTGGGTCGTCTGCACTGGCCTGTCCTTGGGGTTCTGACAGGATATGCTCTCAGCTGCAGCCACTAAGAGCACCACCTGTGCACATTCACTATGTTCCCTTTTAAAAGGACCCCCACTTCCCATCCTCCTCTCTCTGTGTTTCTCTCCCTCTATCTGTCTGCTCCTCTCTCTCTCTGCCCCTCTTTCCTCTCTCCTGCTGCTCCTGTCTCTGGAGGTTGGTCTCCCCCCTCCCCT